TGTGGTTTTATGGCTGCACTGAATTTGTATTAATACGCGGCTGTGTTTCAACTTGGAAGTTATTAAATTATACATACACATAGTGCAGATAGCAAAAAGTTAGAAAAGTTCGTGTGTGTTGCTTTTTTGTTGGCATCAAGCTGACAGCACACAGCACGCAGCACAGCACAGCAGCCATGGGATTTTATAGTTCAGCTGTATCGAAAATTTACTAAAATCATATTGTAATACAGTCATTCAAAATAAGTGGAATGCTCACGTCTATGACTATGCGAAGAGTTCGGCTGTCGTCAGCAAAATATTTTTAGTTTGGATTTTGTAGTTGACGCTCAAATGGGTCTAAGGAAAAACTTACGGTGCAGTCATTATGGATAAAATTCTACTCATCCGCTTTTTATTCATTCGCTATAGATCTTATACAATTACTTATTTAAGTTTTGTTTGTTTTTCAATAAAGTTGTTTACACAAAATGCGTTTTAATTCACTTTTAATGCTTAGCGCTATTTATTTGATTGCGCATGCTCAAAAATGGTGCATCAGCAAATATTCTGTAATGCATTTAATATGTTTAACCTGTAATTTGTAATTTGTGTAATTTTATTTAGACTGTTTAGATATTTTCGGTGACCGCTGTGGTGCAGTGGTTAGCAGTGTACACTATCATTCCGCAGGGCTGGGTTCAAGCCCAGTTTCCGACATTAAATAATAAAAAATATAAAAAGGTTCTTTTCTGGAAGCGGTATTGCATAAAGGTACTTACCGACAGTCTAACAGCAGCGCATGATCCTTTTGTCCAGCTACGGAAATCATTTGATCCATAATGCCACAGGGCATACCAGCAAACTTGTGTTCGGCGGCTTGACATACTAGAGCGCGTTTCTTGTTGCTAAAAAATTCAGGTGAAAAATAAATATTTTATTCACTACTCGAATAATTAAAGTGAAAGTACATAACTTCCATTGCGTCACCGTCGCCGTCACCGACAGCTGTCAAAAAAGTTGAACTGGTGTATTTGTATGAAGTAGGTTACATGAACAAAGCTGACTGTGACGGTGACGCACAAATTAGCTCAACTATCAACTTTGTTTATGCGTCCGCGTCAAGTGACAACTATTCTGTGTTTTGTTTACATATTTGAACAAAAATTTGTTTCAGATTAAATATGAAAATGTTTGGATTTATTTAAATAAACGTAAAATAGGATGGAAGAAAAGTAAAAACGCATTTTTGCAAAGAGCAGCAGTGAGTTTTTGATTTTACGGGCGCAATGGTGTACGGATAGTACGTAACTTGCCGCATAAGCACCGTTGACGCTGTCAATGACGGTGACGGTGTCGGTGACGCAATGGACGTTGTGTACTTTCGCTTTTAGTCTATGAAGCTAGCTATGGTAAGCAAAATTACAAAAAGAAAGAAAAGGTGCAGACGCCAGTGTTGCCAGATCGGACATTTTTCCCTTAGATTTAGAGACTGTCCTAGGGATAAATTTAGGGAAACCAAATATTTAGGTGAAAGCGGAAAACGGATTCTTGGGGGTAATCCGTTATCTACGTAAACGCTTTTATGTATCGAGGGCTTATATTCAACACCCTTTATCTGCTTGTTTCACAAAAACTACTTTGTAATGTTAGAACCCATCTGGGACTTTCCTGTCAAATTCGTTTCTCAAGCATTATACAAGTTCAACCTTAATATCACCGATGACAGTTAAATGCTTTGGTCCAAATGACAAATAACAACTAGATTTAGTTCCAAGTTTAAGTGAAATGTGTACTCAATAAAAATACACTAGGGGTATTCACGATCCGGTGCATACTGTCTAGCATGGTGCATAGATAGCATAAATAGCAGGATTATTGTTGTTTCATGTATTCAAACAACAAAAAAAAATAGCCAATCATGCTATTTATGCACCATGCTAGACAGTATGCACCGGATCGTGAATACCCCTACTATCTACAAATTACATTGAAAAAATAAAATCACAAAATGAACTCCCAATAAACAGATTTAGGGGTAGGAAAGGGAGATCTAGGGGAAAATAGCATGCCTTTGGGGGTAAACTACTGCAATAACCTGACCACACTGGCGGACGCATAACAAGCTGCCTGAGAGAATTTTGTACATGGAAGGTATGCTAAGCAGGAGTGCATACATTTAAAATTTTGCGCCGTGTATAAATACACCTTTCTGCTAAATTTTTGTCTACTAATTTACTCACCTCTCCAATTGTTTGCCGGTCAACTGTTCCAGGAAAGTCAAAGTCGCCATTTCAACTGCTGCACTCGAAGACAAACCGCCACCCACTGGTACATTGGATGCAAATACTGCATTGAAGCCAGGCAACTGACCCTCCAACTTCAGTTCGTTGGCAAAATTATGAATGACACCTTTCACATAGTTGGCCCATCTGAAAAGAAAAAGTCGAAGAGCAACTAAGTTAGTATGCTGAAGTGTCAAATTAGTTAGTGCCTAGGTAAGTGATTGTGTATATAAAAGAAAAGAATTTTTATTTGTGGTAGCATCATAGTATTCGACCGAAATAAGTTCATCTCTACTAGCTTTGCTTTGTCCACATTGCACTTAAGCAAAACGTTGCAGGTGAAAATTTGCCGTAAGCCCTTAATGAACGCTCTAACCTTTGCCATTCACATTTCTAAACTACTATACACTCATGCATGCACACACATACATACCAATCACATTGCGTAAACTACTTTGAGTTCATATTTTCATTTCCTTTGTGGCCTTACAGTTGAGTTGTTGGACTTTTGAAAGGAGCTCGTGTGCATGTGTGTACGAACTATGGGTGTCGATGTGCATGCACATGCAATTTCGCTTCTATGAGAGGGCTGCCAGACATCCCCAGGTTTTTGCCTCCGTTTTGAATCACAGCAAACTGAGTCAAAGTGCTTTATATGTCGGTATGAACAAGGCAAGGCAAGGTTTTTCTATATAAGATAATTTTTCCAAAGTCATTTTCATTTTCATTTGTTTCGTGAATAAAAAAAAACTTTAGTATCCATAATTAGGCAAATATTTTTTTGTTTCACTGGGTTATATTGAAACTTTTATTTTCATCTTTATTGGCGCTGTAACTGCTTAAGAGATTTTGGCCGAGCCCAAATTAGACGCCAGTAGTTTCCCGTCTGTGCCAAGTGACACCAATTGGCAATACCAAGTGAAGCCAAGTCCTTCTCCACCAGGTCTTTCCAACGCAGAGAAGGGCCTTCCTCTTCCTCTGTTATCAGTCTAGAGACCGGCGTTGAATACTTTTAGAGATGGAACGTGTTTGTCCACTCGAGCATGACCTAGCCAGCGGAACCGCTGTATCTTAATTCGCTGCACTTTATCAACATAGTTGTAAAGCTTAAATAGCTCATCGGTAAATCGTCTGCCTTATTCGCCATCGCTAACGCGTAGAGGCTCGAATATCGTTCACGTAATCTTTCTCTCGAAAACTCGAAAGGCCGCTTCATGAGATGTGTTCGTTGGACATGTCTCCCAGGCATACACCAGAAAAGGCATGATGGACGACTAATAGACTGTGATTTTGTACAACGAGGGATGACTTTACTTCTCAGATGCCTACTCAGTCCTAAGTAGCACTTGTTGGCATGGTTGTGATTCTCTCCATACTCCAGAAATTGTAAGCTCTTGTAAAGTATTGTGCCTGAGCGCTTCAGTCCAGCAACTGTTATTGTCTTCTTGAATATCAGATGAAATAATTCACATGAAATGGCGTAAACTTATCTGATACCTCGTTTGGTATCAAATGGCTCGAGGAGGTACTTCCCAATTCTGAACGGAGCTGATGGTATTGATCAACGTCAATTACTCCATATTATATTTATGAAGTTGTATTTAAAACATTTTCACCGAATTCTCCTGGTTTTGGGTGAGACAATTCTGGCAGCTCTATTATATATGCATACCAGTGCATTCATGTTTCAGTTGACTTGTTTATTTGTTTGCTTGCTGGACAGCCGGTCTCCTTTGCCAATCGCTTGACAGTAGATATACGAGTATCTTAGGTTAGTCTGCAGACGAGTTAGCTGGTAGACAAGCAACATCACTCACCAAGTAACGGGTGATTTTTTTGAGGTTAGGATTTTCATGCATTAGTATTT